TATATACATGCTAAGTAAAAAAAGCCAGGCACAAAACCCCCAACATTTTATGACTCCTCTCAAAGAGGGAGTTGTTGAATGGGTATAGAATTTGTTTGTGATGATGAAGATTTTGGAAATGGATAATGGAAACGGCCATACAACATTGTGTATGTACTTAACGCCACTAGATCATGCATTTAAAAAGGGTAAGTTTGAATTGTATATTCATTTTTAAAGTGGTAAGAAGAATGGTAAAGTTCATGCTATATTTTATCACAGTTTTAAAAAACATATACAAGAAAGCTAAACTACAGAGACCGGTTGTGAGGAACACGGAGTTGTTACTGCAGTGAAAGTAGTTTGTGTGGGTCTTCGAGAGATACGTGACAGGGTGTGTTTGTGAAAACCGGTTTGAACTGTACAACACACGGACTGATGCCTGTTGCAGACTGTGGGCTTTAGTTAACAATAACATATTTGTTTATCGGTTGTAACAAATTTACCAGCTTAATACAGAGTGTTAATAACAGAAATGATGTGCAGAGGAGGAAAGGAGGTATATGAGAACACAGAACTTTTTGTTCAATTTTTTTTAAAAAACCTAAAACTTCTCTGAAGTTTAATATTTTTTAAAAAATAAGCAAAGGTAAAGAGCAGTGCTACTGTGTATATACGTTGTTATTTAGTCACTAAGTCATGTCAGACTCTGGGACCCCATGGACTGTAGCCTGCCATGTTCCTCTGTCCATGGGATTTCCCAGGCAAAAATACTGAAGTGGGTTGCTGTTTCCTTCTCCAGGGGTTCTTCTGAAAGTTTGCTTATTCCTGTAGCATAAAAATCTATGCTTCAGGATTCAACAAATTCTTGGCAAGCATTTTCACCTCCTGTGGGTTGTGCAAGCATTTTCCCTGTTGAGATGCTTGAAGAAGTGGTAGTTGGTTGGCGAGAGGTCAGGTGAATATGATGGATGAGGCAAAACTTCCTAGCCCAGTTCATTCAACTTCTGAAGCATTGGTTGTGTGACGTGTGGTTGAATGTTGTTTTGGAGAAGAATCGGACCCTTTCTGTTGACCGGTGCCAGCTGCAGGTGTTGCAGTTCATGGTGCATCTCATGAATTTGCTGAGCATGCATCTCAGATGTAATGATTTCGCCAGGATTCAGAAAGCTGTAGTGGATCAGACGGGCAGCAAACCACCGAATGATGACCATGAGCTTTTTTTGGTGCAAGTTTGGCTTTGGGAAGTGCTTTGGAGCTTCTTCTCAGTTCAGGCACTGAGCTGGTCATTGTTGGTTGTTGTATAAAATACACTTTTTGTTTCACATCATAATCTGATGGAGAAATGAATCCTTGTTGCATAGAATAAGAGAAGAGGACACTTCAAAACGATGAATTTTTTTAGATTTGTGGTCAGCTGATGAGCTGGCCACTTATCAAGCCTTTTCACCTTTCCCCTTTGCTTCAGATTCTGAACAACTGTAGAGTGATTGATGTTGAGTTTTTTGGCAACTACTAGTGTAGTTGTGAGAGGATCAGTTTCGATGATCGTCTCAGTTGATCATTGTCAACTTTGGTGGCTGGCCGCTGCACTCCTCATCTTCAAGGCTCTTGTCTCCTTTGCAAAACTTCTTGAACCACCACTGCAGTCTAGTTTCGTTAGCAGATTCTGGACCAAATGCATTGTTGATGCTGCAGATTGTCTCTGGTGCACTTTATGACCCATTTTGAACTCAAATTAAAAAACCACTTGAATTTGCATTTTGTCTAACATCATTTCCCTAGTCTAAAATAAGCAGCAAGTAATGTCATTAGCAAAAAAAGCCATAAAGTGAGAAATGCATGTTAAAATGATGTATATCTTGACTACATTTAGTTAAGAATGTATTCCAATATCAAACAGCAAAGTTTAACAATGCAAAACCACAGTTTTTCATCACCGCAATACTTTAATGGCTGCATTCAAAATCCGCAGTGATTTTGATGCCCAAGAAAATAAAATCTATCACAGCTTCCACTTTTTCTCCTTCTGTTTACCATGAAGTGATGGGACTGGCTGTCATGATCTTAGTTTTTTGAATGTTGTCAAGCCAGTTTTTTCACTCTTCTCTTTCATCCATATCAAGAAACTCTTTAGTTCCTCTTCGTTTTCTGCCATTAGAATGGTATCATCTGTATATCTGAGGTTGTTGATATTTCTCTGGCAATCTTGATTCTAGCTTGTGATTCATCCAGTCCAGCATTTTACGTGATGTGCTCTGTGTATATAATTCCGTAGTGGATCACTAAATTGAAACTCAACGAGGGTGGTGTCATGGATATTATCTACCGTAATCTTTGGTGTCATTTTATTAAAGTCTAGGCTTTGGATTGGACCCCTGTTGCTGTTGGAAGGGGCAGAATAGTGAGAGAAATTATCAGAATTCTATTATAGAGGGCACAGATTTTCACAGTGAAGTAATTTTGATTACCCTTCCTTTTGCTTTTTTCAGGTTCAACTTCTCATCTTTGTCCTTCATGTACTATACATTGTTTTCTGTGGTCTAGTCAAAAAGCCATGTACACTTGCCTGCCCTTTGAAGACCGCTTTAAAGAATTCGTCTAAGACAACTGGTAAGTCTACTAATGAAAAAACATGTTGATCTATATTTCTTCCCTGTTCTAAAAGTACTTGTTCTGAATTGATACAGTGATATTCTAGCAGCATTGCTTTGCATATATTTTTGTGTGCTTTTAACATTTCTCATTTTCCAACATTTAAGAGAATATTTTATGATGAGTGCATTTTTTAAAAGTGCTTGGAGTTCTTAAGGGAAAACATTAAAAGCATCCATACCCATATTGATAGTGGTATATGAACATGTATTAATTATGTCAGTTATAAAATCTGTTTTAGCAGTTGTTGGATCCATGCTAAGAAGGGCATACCAGATATAACTGGTGGAGAATAGAATAGAGTCCAGAATAGAATCACAGAACTTAGTAATTGCTAAATGGAATGCTGCATGTCAAGAAAAGAACATTATGTGTCATTGATTACATGTGTAATCAATGTTGAGATGAGAACTATACATTTGGGGGTCAAAAACAGGTTGGATACCAGAGAATTAAAGATACAAATATGTAAGAAGGGAATGAAGTTATCATAGGAAAAATAATGAGTTATTAAAAAAATATTTGAGTGAGAAGGCATAGTTTAAAACACAGTCATAAGATAAACAGTTTTAAGTTTTTAATTTTTGTGTAAACCAGTTGCATTGGGTTGGCCAAAAAGTTCTTCTGGATTTTCCCATGATATGTTACGGAAAACCTGAATGAACTTTTTGGTCAACCCAATATAAATAGTTTAGGAAAAAAATAAAAAGTCAAATAAAGTCAAGAGACAAATGGTAAATTGAGAAGATAGTTTCCGTAAAATGGCTGATTTTATACACAAAGACTATTTACAAATAATTAAGAAAAATGCATAAAGTCCATCATAGAAAAAAGATATACATGTGGCTGATAAAAAGGGAAGATACTTAGTCTTTCTCATTAGAGAATCTTAAAACAATAGTGAGATGTCAGTTTTCACCTAAGGAGTAGCAAGGATTTGAAGTTTAATGATCCTCTGATGATGAGGGAGTTGGGAATTACTGAATTACTCCTCACATAGACACAGTTGGTATATAAGGTATGTAATAGCGCTGCAGGTTTTTGAGAGTTTGGTAAAACATCAGTTTCAGTTGCAAAGAGCCTTCGAAACATTTCTAGGAATTTCCCCTACAAAAATATCCTCATGTTCAAAGATCTGTATAAGGAATTTCAGTGCTTTGCCTGTGTGTAAAGATACCCTAGGAAATGCCTTCTAATTAGCAGAACTCCTGAAATCTGTATGTGCCCTCACTGTACAAACAGAAACTTGGTCCAGTTGCGTTCAGAATCACCAAAACATGTTCCTCTCACTTCCCTGGAGTCTGGCCCTGTTGTTTCTCCTGAGCCACAGACTTCTCTTCCTTAAATGGAAGCTTATTGCAGAAAAATATGTTTAATACTTCATTTGTATAGAATGTATTTATGCCCTTTTGTAAACATAGACCTTCTCTTTAGTGACTACCCCTGGGAAGTGATAACTGTGTGAATGTCTTGTCAGAATGATGTGAGTTTCTCTTAACTTTTACTGCCTCAGAAGATTAGCTTACAAGTTTAAAAGTCCTGTTTTCTGGCAAGCAAGTTGCCTCCAGGGTGTCCTCCATCTGAATCGCTGTTTTTGGCAAGCCCCTCACGCCTTGTAAGGTCTCTGCTGAGAGCCTTCTCTGTGCTGTCCTCCACATTCGTATCTTCTCAGCTGACGCAAGCACCACATTATAAGACTCGCCTGAAACCCAAACACCTAGGAGAGCATAGGGCACAGGATAATTAACTCATTAAATGAATGGGTAAAAATACATTAGGATGGATAAAGCATTACAAGATATGTTGACTTTTTTTTTAAAGTTGTCTTTTCGTAGTTGGATTTAGTTTAATAAGCACTTTGTAAAGTGGGTCTAAAGTTTCTTGCTCTGCCTGAATAGCCTAGCTTTTAACTTTGACGTTTACTTAGCCTTTGTGTGCTAACAGCTTGTTGATTCGGGGTTTTAGAGTTAAAGTGTAAGGCACATGCAGTAGATAATTCTGGAATCAACTTGGGTTCCTGATAGTCTGATAACCTGGGTAATTGACTTTGAACATGAGGTTTGTCATCTGTAGAGGAAAATAATATTGGAGTCAATATTGTTAGGATTAAATGAGATGATATGTGTAAAAATAGCAGAGTTCCTGGAACTTGGTTAAAAATTAGTTATAATTTTCCCTTCTCTTCACAGTCTTTATAGAGATATTATATAATAAATGCACATGCCATTCTAGACTTAAAGTTTTTCAAGTATACAATGGACTAGAAATAGCATTTCATTCAAGATTATGATCCCTGAGAATCATTCATTTATTTCTCCTTTGTTGCAGCTCTGTTTTTAAAGAATAAAATCGTGTATGTTAGAAAAATGGAAGTATTCCAGGAACTTCGTAAGACATCTGCACGTTTGGAGTGTGACCACTGCAGTTTCAGAGGCACAGATTATGAAAATGTACAAATTCACATGGGTACCATCCATCCAGAATTTTGTGATGAAATGGATGCCGGTGGGTTAGGTAAAATGATATTTTACCAGAAAAGTGCAAAGCTGTTTCACTGCCATAAATGCTTTTTTACCAGCAAGATGTACTCTAATGTATACTATCACATCACATCCAAACATTCGGCCACAGAGAAGTGGAATGAGAAACCAAAAAATCAGTTCAACAAAGAAGCAGAACCTGTGAAAAGCCCCCCTCTTCCTGAACACCAGAAAACAGCCTCCAGTTCAGCAGAGCTGAAACCTGTCCCTGCCCTTTCTATAGAAACACAGAAACTTGGCCCAGTTACGTCTCCAGAATCACCAGAACCTGCTCCTCTTCCTTCCTTGGACTCTCAGAAGCCTGCCCCCGTTGTTTCTCCTGAGCCTCAGACACCTTCTCTTCCTTCTCCTGAGCCTCCAAAACCGGCCCCTGTTTCTTCTGAACTTCCAAAACCAGCCCCTCTTGTTTCTGAATCTCAGAAACTAGTCCCTGTTCCTTCTCCAGAACCACAGAAACTTGCTCCTGTGTCTCCTGAGCCAGTAAAGGCCACTCTGACTAATCCCAAAGCCCAGAAACACTCCCATTTCCCAGAAACATTGGTGCCGCCTTCAGCCCCATCCCCCGAGTCACCAGTACTAGCTGCCTCCCCAGAACCTTGGGGACCGTCCCCAACTGCATCTCCGGAGTCTCGGAAGCCAGCCCGGACTGTCTCCCCTGAGCCAAGGAAGCTGTCCCCATCAGCATCTCCTGAACCTTGGAAGCCGTTCTCTGCTGTCTCCCCAGAGCCTCGGAGGCCAGCCCCAGCTGTGTCACCAGGCTCTTGGAAGCCAGGGCCACCTGGATCCCCCAGGTCTTGGAAATCCAGTCCATCAGCAGCATCAGGGCCTTGGAAGCCAGCTAAACCTGCTCCATCTGTGTCTCCTGGACCTTGGAAACCAATTCCTTCTGTATCACCTGGACCTTGGAAACCGGCTCCATCTGTGTCCCCCGCCTCCTGGAAGTCTTCATCAGTCTCGTCTGGTTCCTGGAAATCTCCTCCCGCGTCTCCTGAGTCCTGGAAGTCTGGCCCACCAGAGCTGCGAAAGACCGCTCCCACCTTATCACCTGAACACTGGAAGACAGTTCCTCCAGTGTCTCCTGAGCTTCGCAAACCAGGCCCAACACTGTCCCCAGAGATCCGGAGTCCAGCGGGATCTCCAGAACTCAGAAAGCCCTCAGGGTCTCCAGAGCTTTGGAAGTTTTCTCCTGATCAGCGGAAAACATCTCCTGCTTCAGTTGATTTTCCTGAGTCCCAGAAAAGTTCCCGTGGTGGTTCCCCTGATCTCTGGAAGTCTTCCTTCTTCATTGAACCTCAGAAACCTGTCTTCCCTGAGATCCGGAAACCAGGTCCTTCTGGGCCCTCTGAGTCCCCAAAAGCAGCCTCTGACATCTGGAAGCCTGTTCTCTCTCTCGACACGGAGCCTCGAAAGCCTGCCCTGTTTTCTGAGCCTGCCAAAGCCGGCCCTCCTGCTTCTCCTGAACCACGGAAGCGTGCTCTTTTCCCGGAGCCCCGGAAGCATGCCCTTTTCCCCGAACTTCCAAAATCTGCCATCTTCTCGGAGTCTCAGAAGGCAGTTGAGCTTGGTGATGAACTCCAGGCAGATGCCATAGATGATCAAAAGTGCGATGTTTTAGTTCAGGAAGAACTAATGGCTACACCTAAGAAACTCTTAGAAGACACTTTATTTCCTTCCTCAAAGAAGCTCAAGAAAGACAACCAAGAGAACTCTGATGCTGAGCTTAGTAGCAGTGAGTATATAAAAACAGATTTGGATGCGATAGATAGTAAGGGCCAAGAATCAAGCAGTGATCAAGAGCAGGTTGATGTGGAATCTATTGATTTTAGTAAAGAGAACAAAATGGACATTACTAGTCCAGAGCAGTCCAAAAATGTATTGCAGTTTACCGAAGAAAAAGAGGCTTTTATCTCTGAAGAAGAGATTGCAAAATACATGAAGCGTGGAAAAGGAAAGTATTATTGCAAAATTTGTTGCTGTCGTGCTATGAAAAAAGGTGCTGTTTTGCATCATTTGGTTAACAAGCATAATGTCCATAGTCCTTACAAATGTACAATTTGTGGAAAAGCTTTTCTTCTGGAATCTCTCCTTAAAAATCATGTAGCTGCTCATGGGCAAAGTTTGCTTAAATGTCCACGTTGTAATTTTGAATCAAATTTTCCAAGAGGCTTTAAGAAACATTTAACTCACTGTCAAAGCCGGCATAATGAGGAAGCAAATAAAAAGCTGATGGAAGCTCTGGAACCTCCACTGGAGGAGCAGCAAATCTGATTTTTAAACATGGTGTGGATATGTGCTCTACAGAATTTATTGAACCCATTTGTTGAAAGTGTCAGTTAGAAAACCTAGTTGGGTCAGTAGGTATTGATGTTTATGGCATACTGTGTTTGTCTCAGTAGTGTGACAAAAGTATTTGTTATTTTTTTTTCCCTTGGTCTCTTGTTTATGTGGCTGTTGTAGAAGTCAATAAATGCATATTGTATATTCCACATGGGTAAAATTTCTCTAATTTCTTTAGTATATTTGAGTAATGCGAAGAGGTAGGTGTTCTATATAACAAGACTAAGTTGTACCCAGTTTGAAACATCTAGTTACATCTTTTTTGTGCAACTAATTTCGGACAATGGAAATTATTCGTTAGAATGTTTAAGAATTAGGCATGAAAATTCTGAGAAGTTTTCTCTTTAAGTGTGTTTTCAGATCATAAAAATTATTTTAAAGTTTCTATTTGGTCATAAAATATTAGTTTAGTAATCTTGAACCACTTTTAGGTGTTTATTAGCTTTTATGTCATGGAAATTTGGAGTCTCAGGGTTGCCGATTTTCTGCTAAAAGGGGAAATTGAGTCAGTTTAAAATACAGTTTGCAGTCTTCTGTAGGAAGCTGAGAAACAAGCGCGTGATTTTAGGCCTTGCCCTTAGTTGATTCCTTTGGCGTCTTCCATTCTGTCCCCCTGCCCCAGGATCTGGCCCGTCCCTCCCCCGTGAGCTCATACCAGCAGGTGATCCTTACTTGCCAAATGTGTTAAGAGTTGCATCTCCTCCTGGGCCTTACGCACCATCTTCTGGGGCTTCAGACCAGGGTCATGAGCAGAACCGAAAGTCTTCCAGATTCACCACAAAAAGTTTTATAAATAAACATTGTTTAAGAATACATCAGTTCTGTGTTTTTCACAGTTGTTACTGTAAGTACTTGGTGCCTGTTTATGGATTGTTTTATTCTAAAATATTTTGTCAAATGTGTATCAACCAAATTAAAAACAAAGGCTTTCATGTTAGCAATATCTTCCTGTGTGTTTTCTTTTGTGTAATTTTCATATTATGATACCAAATTCCATTATTTCCAATTTCCACTTGTTTTCACACTGATTTTCGTATCTGGAGCAGTGTTTTTTAAGCTCTGTTTTCTCAGAGTGGTCAGGTAGGTGCAGGGACTGTACAGTCGTCCCTTGGTGTCCACAGGGTGTTAGTTCCAGGACACCCTGCAGATAATCAAGATCTAGGGATGCTCAAGGCTCTTAAAAGCATATATTGTTTGTATATAACCTGCGCACATCCTCCCATACTTTAAATCATCTCTAGATAACTTGCAGTGCCTAACACAATGTAAGTGCGTTGTAAATAAGTTACCAGCAAGTGGCAAATTCAAGTTTCGCTTTATGGGACTTTCTGGAAATTTTTTCTAATATTTTTGATCCATGATTGGTTGAATCCATGAAAGTGGAAATCATGAGGCTTTGCATGAAAATTCTCATCAATCCACATTAGCCTATTAAAGGTCACTTAATCCTGGTGGTGGTCAATCCTGACTGCTTCATTTAAACAATAGGAAGCATTTAGTGTCATAAGGATTCTGATTTGTAGCCAGGAATGAGATACTGGCTTTTATCAAGCTGTTCCCAGGCACTTGAAGGGAGTGCTTATTTGATGGAATTCGAATGCATACACTGATTGGGAATGCGATGCTTAGGTAATGCTGGAAGGTCTCATAAACTCCAGACCTGTCACTTCAGAGAGCATTGGTCTGGCAGGGAAGGCACTGCTTGATGGGATTGTTGGTTTACACTGGGCAGCTTAACAGCAAGCTTGGGAGTTGTGAAGTTGACTCCTAGATGTGATGCCAACAGGTAGGAGGGGCAAGGTGTCATAGATACAGCTGTCTTATATGCTGACTTGATTAAAATTACGAGTAGAAAAACAAGGGACCTCCAGTGCCCAGAAACCATTTTGAAGCCTGCAATCAAAACAACCACGTCTGAGCATGTAACAGCATGCAACAGGTTCTTCGGAGTCAAAATTTTTTTGGTGCAGGCTTCTCAGAGAGTCCTCCGTATGTCTGCTCAAGGGGAAGCTAGCTAGATCCTATAACTTGGCATCTCATGTGGGTTTTTAATAATACTATCATAAGATAGATTTGGTGCTAGGTTAAGTAGTTGTATTGCATGTGTAGCTTTGGCATTAAGGCCTTCATTTTAGTTGAGTAAACCACCATGTTCTTGGCTCACCTCAGTTGTAGCTTCCCGGTTTTTTCTCCTTTTACCTCAAAAGGGTAAACTGTGTCCTTAGTTTAGAACCTATTTATTTTTTAATTTGTTTATGTATTTTTGGCTGTGTAAGAATTTCCACAGTTGTGATCCACACAGTCAAAGGCTTTAGAAGGCAATGAAGCAGAATTGGTGGTTTTTCTGGAATTCTCTTGCTTAGCACTGGTTTTACAGTTGTTTTGGGAAACGGCCACAAGGTGGCAGCATTTATTCATGCCCATCTCTGGTTTCCAGGACAAGCAGCGCCTTAGGGAAAACCCTATTTATCCAGGTTTCTCCGGCTGAGCCCTGCCCTGGAGCCCTCTTGGTCAGGCACTGAACTGATTGTGACTTTACCCTTCTGGTCTTAAAGAAATGAGATTTCTTCGAGGAACAAATACAGATTGCCATTAGACACATGAAAAATGCTCAGCATCCCTATCAGTTCAGTTCAGTCGCATGGATCTTAGGAAATTCTGGAGGAATATATCAAAAAGGACAGAGGTTTCCCAGGTCAGATTAGCGATGTAAAGAGCCTGTCTGCTAATGCTGGAGATGTAAGTTCAATCCGTGGGTGGGGAAGATGCACTGGAGGAGGGCATGGCAACCCACTGCAGTATTCTTCCCTGAAATACTGTGGACAGAGGAGCCTGGCAGGCTACAGTCCACAGGGTCCACAGAATCAAACACAACTGAAGCAACTTATTATGCATGCATGCGTATCAGAAGAACATGCTTTGTCTTAAATTGCGTTAAGAAACTTATGCATCTCTAAGAATAATGAAAATACATCAGAAATAAGAAAAGGCTTAATTAACCTTAAAAAACATTTGCACAGCAAAGGAAACCTTAAAAGAGACCCTAGAAGAAAAAGATAACCCTCAGAATAGGAAAAATACTGGCAGACGAAGACACCCACAAGGAATTTGTCTCCAAACACATAAACAGCACGTGCAGCTCCATATCAGAAATACAAACAACTTCCCTCCATCCAATAAATAAATAAATAATAAAAGGCCAGAGTACAAAATGAGATTTCTTTGAGGAACAAATACAGATTGCCATTAGACACGTGAAAAACGCCCAGCATCCCTATCAGTTCAGTTTAGTCACTCAGTCGTGTCCGACTCTGTGTGACCCCATGGACTGCAGCACACCAGGCTTCCCTGTCCATCACCAACTCCTGGAGCTTGCTCAAACTCAAGTCTATCGAGTTAGTGATGCCATCCAACCATCTCATTCTCTGTTGTCCCCTTCTCCCCCCACCCCCCCACCTTCAGTCTTTCCCAGCATCAGGGGCTTTTCCAATGAGTCAGTTCTTTGCATGAGGTGGCCAAAGTATTGGAGTTTCAGCTTCAGCATCAGTCGTTGCAGTGAATATTCAGGACTGATTTCCTTTAGGATGGACTGGTCTGATGTCCTTGCAGTCCAAGGGACTCTCAAGAGTCTTCAACATCACAGTTTAAAAGCATCAATTCTTCGGTGCTTTATGGTTCAACTGTCACATCCATACATGACTACTGGAAAACCACAGCTTTGACTAGACAGACCCTTTGTTGGCAAAATAATGTCTCTGCTTTTTAATATGCTGTCTAGTTTGGTCATAGCTTTTCTTCCAAGGAGCAAGTGTCTTTTCATATCATGGTTGTAGTCACCATCTGCAGTGATTTTGGATCCCAAGAAAATAAAATCTCTCCCTTTTCCCATTGTTTGCCCATCTATTTGCCATGAAGTGATGGGACTGGATGCCATGAGCTTAATTTTCTGAATGTTGCATTTTAAGCTGGCTTTTTCACTCTCCTCTTTCACTTTCATTAAGAGGTTCTTCAGTTCCTCTTCATTTTCTGCCATAAGGGTGGTGTCATCTGCATATCTGAGGTTATCAATATTTCTTCCGGCAATCTTGATTCCAGCTTGTGCTTCATCCAGTCCAGCATCTTGCATGATGTACTCTGCATATAAGTTAAATAAGCAGGGTGACAATATACAGCCTTGATGTACTCCTTTTCCTATTTGAAACCAGTCTGTTGTTCCAGGTCCAGTTCTAACTGTTGCTTCTTGAGCTGCATACAGATTTCTCAGGAGGTGGGTAAGGTAGTCTGGTATTCCCATTTCTTTAAGAATTTTCCACAGTTTGTTTTGATCCACACAGTCAAAGGCTTTAGCGTAATCAGTGAAGGGGAAGTAGATGTTTTTCTTGAATTCTAAATCCAGCTTGAATATCTGGGAGTTCTCGGTTCACATACTGTTGAAGCCTGGTTTGGAGAATTTTGATCATTATTTTGCTAGTGTATGAAATGAGTGCAATTGTGTAGTAGTTTGAACATTCTTTGGGATTGAAATGAAAATTGACTTTTCCAGTCCTGTGGCCACTGCTGAGTTGTCCAAATTTGCTGGCATATTGAATGCAACACTTTTACAGCATCATCTTTCAGGATTTAAAATAGCTCAGGTGGAATTCCATAACCTCGCTAGCTTTGTTCATTGTGATGCTTGCTAAGGTCCACCTGACTTCGCACTCCAGTATGTCTGACTCTAGGTGAGTGATCACACCATTGTGGTTATCTGTGTCATGAAGATCTATTTTGCACAGTTCTTCTGTGTATTCTTGCCACCTCTTCTTAATATATTCTGCTTCTGTTAGGTCCACACCATTTCTGTCCTTTATTGAGCCCAACTTTGCATGAAATGTTCCCTTGGTATTTCTAATTTTCTTGTAGAGATCTCTAGTCCTTCCCATTCTATTGTT